GCCCCTGAGGCTCCTGTTGTCTTTTTCCAGCTTTCTCAAAGCTGTTGCCAGCCAGGAAAGCCCATCTATCTGGCAGAGCATGGAAGGCCAACCTAGCCAGCTCTCCTGCATCCTTTCCTTTGCTCCTCTTCTCTCAGTCTGCCCTACACCACATGTACCGTTGGCTGTGCCATGGCCCCTCATCCTGCTACAGCATCCTCCAGTGCTGAGCATCTCTTCGGTGTCTGGGCCTGAGTGTGTGAGGATGACTATGGAGGAGACCAAAGGCTGAGGGCAAGCACAGCTATTGCTTGCTGTTCCTGGTCACAAGGTGCCAGCCCTCCGCTGCAGGGGTAAGAGGAGGGAGGGTTTCCCAGAGCAGCCTGCGTTGGGGCCCCCATACCCCAGAGCAGGGTAGAGATTGAGACAGGGAGCAGGGGAACAACGGCAGGATGTGGGACAGGGGGGTTGCAGCCTGGCGGCACTGCAGGGAGGACTATCTCGCTGTGCAGCCGGAACAGAAAGGCAGTCCAGTCCTGCAGGAGCAAGCCACACAGGAGGGGCTTGGGTCCCCATCCCTGCCCTGCTGAGCCGTCTTTGCCACCTCCTTCCCGTCTCCCACCAGCCAAAGAGCCCTTCTGACAGTCACAAGGATCAGTACATTAAAGGAAGTGAAGCACTTGGCTATTACGATAACAGGGGATGAATAAAGCTCTGGAGGTAAAAGGGGAACAGGTCAAGGCGAAAAGAAAGCCCAGAGAGCAGCTTCCCTGCGGGGATAACAGCATGGGCTGAGCGGGATGGGCCCAGGACCCGGGCCATGCAGGCTGCGATCCCTTTGCTACCTGGGTGGTAGCTTCTCCCTGGGGAGTCTGTTACCCTCTCCTTTATTCCTTTAACTCCTTTTTCTTACATGGGGAGAAGGAAGGAGAAAAGGAGCTACCAACCAGCCTCAAGGCTCGCAGGAAGGTCTGTGAGTTGTCCCTCACTCCCACTGCACTGAGGGACAATTTGCCCAGAGATGCCAGATGTTGCTAACTGCGCTGTGCACTTTGCAATACTTGGCCATTTGTTCACAGGCTTTGCTGCTGGAGCTGGGAGCCTGCAGTGGCAAGAGCAGGCTTTTCAGTGTCAGGTCTCAAAGGCCTGAAGTAAGCACCTACAAAAAGCCCTCACATCAGGAGAAAAGCAGTCCTAAAATCTCCTTAAATATTTCCTGGATTTTCTATCAGTGATGTGGCTCGGGGGGGAGGGGGGTTTGATTTTGTATATTCAGAATCTCAGGGCAGACAGTACCCTCTTTCACCAGCCTTCCTCTCTCCCCATGCCACATCCGAAAGGGAAGCCCCCATTTTACAAAGAGGTATCCAGGGGCTCAGCTTTGTGCACGTAATTTTCCACCTCTTGACTTCCACGGAGGAACCCAAGAAGACAACTGAGGAAACGGCATGCAGGCAAGGTCAAGGCGTGCAGAACCAGAGGCATGAGAAACACCTTGAGGCAGGAAACGTGTCTACCTGGTCTGCTGGGAATGCCTCTTTTATATGAAGTAACGTTAACACTGCCATGAAACCTCGTTAAAGCTCTTAGTGAATGGTCAAGGAGTAGCATCAGGCATCCTAGGCGCGTCCTGTAGACCCTCCAACTGCTCCCTGTCCCTGTAATAAATACATGATAGGGCACTGTGGTAAATGTAGCTTATAATGAATAGGGGGTTAGCCAAGGTTAACAACAAGCGTCCGCTGCTTGCATTACCACCCTTTTCTCTGCTGCTTTGTTCTGTCTGCGAAGCAAAGGCTGATTTAAGAGGGTGGTTGTTGGTGACACCTCTGCTCCCCAGCTCGCAGCAGGAGGAGGCCCAGGCTGGGCTGCTGGCTGATAACCTCCGGCTCAGAGAAGACGCTACGCTCGGATCCTAGCCCGCAGCGGGGAGAGCTGCAGCGTCTGGGCCAGGGGCAGGCAGGGCCAGAGGGGGCAATGGGTGCTCAGAGAGGTACCAGTGGGACCAGCCAGCACCTCTGGCACTCACCAGTCCACCCCAAAACCTCTCCCTGGAAGGCCAGCGTACCTGGCCAGCAGCAAACACCGCTGCTGCACCGCACCGTTAACACCGCCCCGCCACCTCTGACATTCGCAACAGCTGGCTGGAGACAGAGGTAGCCCTGCAGCTGCATTACGGGCTCAGGCGGTGGGGACTTTCGTTTACTCCTATCCTGGGGGCAGACTGGACCCGATAACCTAGATACAGTCTTATCCCCTCCCCCTGCCTTCCCGTTCTTTGTCTGAGTGGCAACACGAAGGGAGGGGTGGAAACCGTCTGCTCACAACGAATCCGGCTTCCAGTAAGGAAAGGCTATTTAACCCCCATGTAACATGTCAATAGACTCACTGGAGGTCTCCTCCCGTTTGGCAAAAGACCGTCCTGCTCCAGCTGGAGGCAGCGATCCAAAAGCACGTTTCGCTCCAGCCCCTTCACCCATGTGGCCCCGGGCTCGTGTTCCTGCTCCCTGCCGATGCCACGCGTGAAGGAGGGAAGGCTTGGGTGCGTGAGCGCAGTTGCAGGAGCGGGCCCTACGCGGGTTACATCAAGTCCCTAGGAAAGCAAGCAGCTGCTGCTGTAGCACGGCTCTCCCTGTGGCCTGCAGGCAGTACTATCTGCTCCTTGCTTCGCATCTGCAAAGGTGCTGGATTAAGCATTTCTCCACTGGAAAACTCCCTTCCCCTCCCTTCTCATGATGATCCCCAGGGCATTTCTCCCAGCCATATGCTGCAAAGACCAAACCGCGCTGGACACACCACCACACCTCAGGATGCAGAACACAGGTATTTTCTTTACCAGGTCTTTTTTGCCTGGCCTAGGGACCACTGGGCGTTTTGAGTGAGGCCATGAAACTTATCCCAGCCCTTTGGGCTGCTGCAGCCTTCCTGGAGGCCGCCTTCCACTGGGTGCCCTCACCACTCTGCAGAGGGCTTGGGCAGGAGCCCGGCTCTGCCAGGGCTGCAGCGAAATCTAGGGCAGAAGCCTCGCTGGAAATGCAGAAGCTGGAGGTGAAGGGGACTGGGCATGTCTTCAGCCCAGCTGCCACAGGGTCAGTCGCTGCCTGCTGCCCGAGTGGGGATCACCGCATCTCCCTAGCTGGCCACCCCAGCATGTCCCCGTGTCCCACCTCCCCAAATGCCTCTCCCCACACCCATGCCTCGGCACCCCTCAGGAGGAAGCTGTCCCCCTTGGTGCCCGCACCGGGCTGCGCCGTGCAGTCCTTGCCCGCGTGCCCCGCAGCCCGGGGTCGCAGCC